TTTTTCTAGGCCAGCAATTTTCTCTTCTACATCTGAGATTCTATTTTCTGTGTGATCTAGTCTGCTTTTAATACTTTCAAGGGAGATTTTGACTTCCTGTATTATAGACTTCATCTCTAACAGTTCCGTTTGATTCTTTTTTAAAATGTGTAATTCCTCTTTTAGATCTTGCAAGAATTTCCTCACCTGGAACTCATCAGCTTCTTTCTCTTTACTCTTCTGCAGTTCATTGTCTCTCTTTTCTTCCATTTCTGTTATCTTCGCCATTATGAATGTTCTAAATTCTTTATCAGACATTTCCATGATTTCCGTTGAACTGTCTGTGGATGGAGAAGTTATTCTTTTCCCTTGTAGGAGAGATATTTTCTTGCCTTTCCATATAACTCGTGGTCCTGTGGTGATTTCTAGTAATCTGATGGATGATGTGTTTCTTTCTAATTCTTGAATTTCAATCTGAATGTTTAGGAGCAAGCAGAAAGAGGTGATCTGGAATCTCTTTGCTGTTCTGTTGTGATCGCTCTGTGCAGCAGATTCAGTAGATATTGAAGAATATGTTAATCCTAATAGTATTTGGATGTTTAGCTACAGTGCCCTTAGATCCATCTAGGAACACATTAAATGGACATTGAAGAGTGGGGAAGCAAGACAAAAGAAATTGAAAAAGAGAGAGAGAAACAACAACAAAGAAACAGAAAAAAAAAGATTAAAAATCCCCCCAAAATTATAATTATTGTTTTTCTTTTTAAAGTATAGCACAAAATAGAAAAACACACAAAATAGAAAACCACGCTTGCGTGCCACATGAAATAACTAGTTCACAGGAGCCATGAGGGATTTTCTTCTGAAGGCCTCACCTGTCCTGCCTAGGTGGGAAGACCAGAGGGGATTATTAACAAGACAAAAGGCGGAGCTGAGAGCAAGAGAAAAACTTTACCTTTAAAAAAAATTGTAAAAAGGAAAAATTACAAAAAAATGAGAAGACAGAAGAAAGGAGAGACAGAGACAGAGATACAGAGACAGAGATAGAAGGCCAAAGGAGCTCCCTACCATGCTAGCTTGTTTGCTGGAGGCTGAATTATCAGTAGAAAATCTTCATTTCTCTTGTACCCTGAAATAACTAGTTCGTAGGAGTCATGAGGGATCTTCTCCATTTACATTTCATTTTTAATGATAATTTTGCTGGATATAAGATGCAGTATTTTTCTTGGAACACTTTGAGCATGCTAACTTACTGCCTTCTAACATCCATAGTGTCTGATGCCATGCCACCTATTAACCATACTAGGTTTTCCTTCTTTATGATTTGCTATTTTCTTCTTGCTGCTTTTATTTATTTATTTTTCCAATTTTTGTTTTTCCCCTATAAGGCATGTGTGTTTACTGGAGGGAGGAAGGGAAAGA